CAGATATTATATTGATACAATAAATTAAAAAATAAAAAAAAAATCATAAAAACTTAATAATAAAAAGTTAAAAATTATCAACTCTTAATTCATTAAATTGTTTAAAGACTTTAGAAACTCTTTTAGGATATTATAATTTACATCAGTTCAGGACACCTGTTTTCAGTTTCATAAGCGACTAGATACAAGGCCGTTATATAGATATCTTAAGTGAGTTTCTAAGTCTATAAATAAAACAATACATGAGAAATTGAGAAAGTTTCTTCTTTAACAAAAGTTTTGTATATTAATAGATTTAAATATAACTTATATACTTTTATAAGGATCAATTTCTGCATTTGAAATATCAGGTATATAAGTTAATTTTAATGTTCAATATTTTATAATAAACAAAAACTTAAATGCTTAAAGTTAATCTATATAATAATGTATATATAAATACAAATTAATATAGTTTCGATGTATGTTTTTTATATTATTAATTATCAAAAATATTATAATTTAAAATAATCGAAATTATTATAATTTCAGAGTAAATTAAAAAAAATGTAATATTTTTAATACTTTTTGTTTTTTGTTCCATTCGGATTGATATTTATATTCCAATTAATTTGGAAATTATATATTTACAATTTTGTAAATGTACATCTTGTACTAACATTATTGCTAACTTAAAATTGCATACATTTTGAGTCATATAAATTGGGCAGGATAAGATAAATTTTACAATTATTATACAGGAAATGTGCTAATTTTTAAAATAATAATATAAACTTACATGAAATTTGTAATACTACTAACTGTACTATATGATTATAATAATTTTTACTTAATTGTATTTATTATGGTATTTCTTATATTTATTGAAACAGCATGAATATAATCGTTTTTATAGTACTCGTTTTATTTGGCAAATATTAATTATCGATTAAACAAATAAATATTATTGAAAAATCAATTTTTATAGATTTGTTGTGCTATATAATACCTTATTTTCTTTCTAGTATTTTTTTTCTTTTTCAGATAAATATATTATAATTTTGTCGATATTATACTAAGATTTTTATTCTGCTCTTACTTGTCCTATTCATATAATTGTGCCTTATTTCCTGATAACACATTTAAATGATTTCTTTTTTGAAAAATTTACATATGATTTTCATGCTTCTTTGGATATCTAATTCAAAATCTTTATATTATACATTTATAGCTATTCTGTTTACATATTTATTGATAGCAGATTTATCACAGTGATATATTATTTCATTTCTCGAATTATATATTTCATCTGAAATAACATTTCATATTCTTATCAAGAAGATATTTATAATCTAATATATTATTAAATTCTAACTAACCTGAGTTAATCATCCCATTCATAATCATCACTGGATTCACTAGTTGAATCATCACTTTCACTATGTATTGCACTCGATCGCTCAGCAAGAGCCCTTGACAAAGCACTAGCCAAACCACCTTGAAATGTTGATGTCGTTTTATTTTTTGCTTCATTCGAAACGGGCCTTAATTCAATTCCTTGACGAATTTGCTCTAATAAAGCATTTCTAGAATCGTCTGGTGGGGGATTTTGTTTTATTTCCGATTTATCGATTTTCTATAATAATGAAATGAATATAATCAAAATGTTATATATCATTAAAAACATTTAGTGATTATAATTTTAAATTTTCATACTAACTCGAAGAGTAGTGCCACTTCTTATAGATTCCATAAGAGTTGATCTCAAATCAGCAATATCTTCATTATTATTATTATTACTATTATTATTATTGATAGCACTTGTATTAATAGTTCCATCATCAGGACTTAATAGATTAGGTAATGGTGGTGGAGTTGGAACAGATGTAGTCAAATTACTTTTTGAGCGTGGAGCTGGAGCAGGTGGAGGTGGTGGTGGAGGAGGTGGAGGTGGAGGTGGTGGAAGTGATGGTGCAGAAGTTAAAGAAGGTGGTGGTGGTCGAGTTGGCAATGTTCTATGAACTGGTGGTGCACTTGATGGTGCACTTGGTGGTGTTGAAGGTGCATTAAATCGATTTGGAGGCAATGGTGGAGCAATTCGAGTTTGATGCTGTAAAAATATTGTTTGTAAAATTCATTCATTTTGTATAATAATATATAGTATATAATAACAACAATTAATAATATTATAATAAAAAATATACAAACAGGTACTGTTCTTGCAGGAACTGGAGGAGGATATTCCTGTCTTTGAAGTGCTGTTGGAGGTTGCCGTATTTGCTGTTGCAATTGTTGTTGTGCATTAGTTTTTGGGATAGATGAATTTATATCTTCTCTAATAGCATTCATACCACCATGTTTTTCAATAAAATCATAAATAAAATCACGCGTGTCTTGATTTCTAAATTGGCATTCCGATACGCCAACCTTATCGAGAAACATTCTTAAATGTGGATCAATTTTTTCTAATTCCAATTCTTTACTATTAGCATTCCATGCAAAATGCGTAACATGTCTAAAAATATTAAAATAAATATAAAAAATATAAAAATTATCAAACTAATTATGTAGTTAAAATTACAAACTAAAACAATATAATCAATCATAATATAATCAAATTTCAACCTAAAATCAGATGGAGGCCCAATATCATCTTTAGTTAATTTTTTCTTAATTTTATCTCGCTTTTTCTTTTTACTTTTATACATAGAACTACTAGAAGCACTCCTATTAACACCAATAGCAGTTGGAGTTCCATTTAATAAATTAGAAGTT